TAGTTAAGTGAAACTACATTCGTTGTGCCTTTCAGAGTCAGCCCAGTACACTGACAGCAGTGCAGAGAGAGTTGGTGGAAGACAGTAGAACTGTTGTATACATTTAAAGCTTATTCCTACTGTAATTAATACAGTGTGCATGTTGTTTAAACAGGTTAAATCAGTCTGCCCATATGCAACTCTCCCCTACGCCCTTGCTGCAGTCTATACACTCTCGAGTGAAGGCTGCAATCAAGTCAGTTGGATGAGAAGTTGCGGGCTAATCAAGGGGCTGCTCGGCTTGGTTTTTGGGATCATGGGGGATAAGATGCAGACTTACTTGTACAGTTGCAGCTAACGCTGTAGATCCCCCTGTTGATGTTGGCTGAGGCTCTTCTTGAGCCGGATTCCTGAGGCCTGCAGCACACTGCGCAGACTCTATATCTGTTCTTAATCACAGCTGTGGAGGAAAGGCCTCGCACGGCGAAGCTCATGTCGGTGCAAAATCCGCAGCTGAATCTGAGCATCTCGAATGACCTCAGAGAGACAAATGAGAAACATGTCAATGCAGCTGTGCCGCAAGAAACCTCTCCGCACGTAGCTGATTAAAATGAGGGAAAAAAAAACACAGCATGCTCTCTCACCTTGCATCCACTTCACGAGATTCCACTTTACAAGAAACTGCTCGAGACCAACGGTTCTTATTAGACTAAATGTTATTCTGTCCTCTGGCGTATTGACTCGCTGCTATCTTGCTATTTGTGCATGATTACGATTAGTGCGAGGACTCATAGCATCCTATTTAGCCTGTGGGAAATGAACGGCAGAGGAAAGCGGTGCAGGTGCGTGGTTAGTTTTCAGGGAAGTGCTCACAGGAGGGGCTCCAAGGCTAATGAGCGATAATAAGCACGCAGGTGTTCTACCTACTGAGTAAGTGGATGCAACAGCGCTTAAAGAGGTTACGAAGGGTAGGTGGGGGGGGGGCCTAATTTTCTCCTATTTTGACTAAGGTGTGCACCAACTCAATTAATAACAGCAGAACAAGTCCTTCATAGCGTCATTTTTATTGCTATTGTCCTTGGCTTTAAATGTAACTGATAAAGTATTCAGTGGCAGTGAGAGCCCATTCCCCCCTATTCTAATTAGGACTTGGAGGAGGAAGGTGAGGGTTGGGAGGCAGTCAGCTGAATAGCGCTGTCCCCTGGTCCTCACCCTCCACAATTAAATGTAGAACATGGACCGATCCTCGCTGTCAGGAAATGAAGCATTAACATTTTAAATGACCTGGATGGGGTGCAGGGTTCTTGGTAAGGATCAGGAGACAGACAGGAGGATGCATTTGCATGCAGGACAAATGCAGCGCACACGACAATGTCAAATTCAGCGTCAACACACTGGAAATGACAAGCCGAGAGAGGAAGAGAGGTAGAGCTGCAGCTCAGGGCGGCTTAGGGGAGGAGAATAATCCTTTTAGCAAACATTCGGCAGTAATATGGAGATAATTACGGTGGAAATGTCATGGTTTTATCACAGCCATGCACAGAGAAGCAATTTCATTCAGACTGAATATGTGACAACGTTTTTAAATGGGGTCACTTACACCTACGTCACTCTGAACGCATTTTGTTGAAACCCTCGTCGTTGCTCAGAGACTTCAGAATTGACTCAGTATATAGTTTTGGAGCAGCATCACAGTCGTTTTATAGGAAGCTGTTATTGGCCTCGTGCATTCTTTAGCACAATTACTCGTAGATGCTCAGATGATGTTCATTTCACAGTAGATGAAGTGAACTTAATAAGATAGTGAAGTAATTAAACTAAATATGATCCATTCAGGACATAGAACAATATTTAGACATCAAACACAGATGGAAAAGAGTTACCACATCAAGCTCCGCACATGTGTGATATGATGAGAATAAAAGGCTTGTATATATATGAGTCACATGAAGATCTGAGAGGAGACCATGGTTGATGTGGGGGCGAAAGCTCATACTGTACTGATTACTCAGTATGTTCTCAGTACTGACCACGCTGAACGCACTGTGGTGTGCATGGTGAGAACGTGTGTGAGTCTACAGCACAACAGAAATTGACAACATGACTTAAAATGTATTGTGAAACCGTGGCTACCCCACCCTGCTGTGGCTGTAGGTGTGTTTACATTAATTATACTCCATTATATTGAACATCATGCCACTTTGCCCGCTGTGAGGAGGAAACATTTGTTTACTTCCTGAAAAGTATCCAGACAAATTGTACAACTTTGGAAAGTGGGGCATCTTTACTTTTTGGAGAAAAGAAAATTGCACCCTTGCCATTTTTCTAATCAAGTATATTCAGAAATCTCCAGACACATCAGTGCTCCACACAGAGCTCCATTATGCTCTGCTGCTGCTCAAGCCGTGCAAGGAATGTTAAATTTCCTTGTGACACGATATCGCTGCCATGAACTGGATGCTTGACTTCTATTACTTTATATAGGTTTACATTAGCAAGAGAAACCTTTAAAAAAAGAGTTGACCTCATCACCAGGAGATTGCACGGTCCATCCCTGCCGATGCCACAGCCATCCATAGCCAGAAGGCCAAGACAGCATAACTTCCCTCACTTTGGGTGGGTAGGATCGCCCTCCCTCTTGCCCTATCACAGTGCGATGCTTGCAAACACAGATGTCTGTCTGACTTGAGGTGATTCAGAGGCAGGGCCAGCTCTAGCCTTTGGGATCCCTGAGCAGGATTTGATTGGATGCACATTTGGGGTTCTAATAAGATCAGAGATAAAATTACAGATAATTTCTCAGCATTCTCGCTCCAGGAGTCTGGCTCATGACTCAGTATTTCTTATTTATATAGCTAACTTTAAGCTTAGGTTGATCTAACCCTGGTGGTGACAGCTTTGCTTTTCATGTCATAAATGCTTTATTTTCTACATATTTAGATAGTAATTTTTTCTCTCTCTTTCTTTAGCGACTCCTAATTGTGTTTCACATGAATCCCTGTTCGTCATAAACAAGATGCTTTCATGTGCACGTGCATAAGGATTAATCAGAGCCTGAGTAGTAGCAGAACCTGGGTTAGCAGAGAAAGTTGTGAACCGCTGTTGTAAAATGTGTTAACGGCAACTGCATATGCTTGGTTGTACTACAAACCAAATGAAATGGCATGACACTAACAACATAAAAAAATACCTTTATCTTTAAGCTTTTTCTTCTCACCTTGTCTTTTTGCATACATTCTTTTTTTGTGACATATTTTACCAATTTTATTCCCTCACTCGAGCATCTTAGACAATAAGAGTACAAAAATAACCCAGAAGTTGTTAGGGGGCCCCCTGGCTTGCGTCACTTCTCAGATAGAGCCGGCACTGTTCGTAGGAAGCACTCACTAGCCTTCACCTTCTCAGTATCACAAGTCGAACTTTTGCCTATGGTCAGAGAGTATGGTGCACTTTGCTGCTAAGTGTGGCCAAGAAGTGTGCCATTCGAATGACACACAAAACAATATGTAGGGGTGGGCATTTCCTCAAAATGGGACTGCAACCAACACAAACCCACATGCAACAAATGTTTTGGCAACGTTGCAAATATATCTCACTAAAAAGCTAATAACGCTTTAAAGAAAACTCTTGAACTTTTAAAGATGTAACGTCATGAACTTCACAAACTTTTTTTCAACCTAGTGCTCTGAAAGGCTTAGTCACTGGGTGCAGAGCAGGCTGCTTGTCTTTTCCATCATACAAATGCAACAGCAAAGAAATTTATACACAAGGCTGTGAGGAAAGCCAAACAGAATGCAACTGACAAAGTCCCAAAAATTGTGGCCAGCTGAGGGTGCAAAAGACATCAGACACTCCATCTATGTGTGAAGCATGGGTGGTCACTCTCACAGCTTGGAAGCTTTGTGTGATGGGGACAGACCTAGAACTTTTAAGCCTTTACATGTAGAGGTTTTTACACTTTAAAAACGTTCTCCACACTCTTTTACAAAACTGTTTCTTCAAAGAATCACCTACTGAAAGTTTCTTTAGAAAGCCAAAAACAGTTGTTCTGTGGCATCGCTCCAGAGAGCCTTTTTTGGCACCATTATTTCTAAGAGTGCAGAGGTGATATGGGCTGTGTGAGGGATTTGAGGAGAGGTGTGATGCTGTAAAGAGTGAGTAATGGGTGTGCTGGCTTGATAGGCTTCGGTGGATCTGGACATCTACTAGAAGTCATTGGGTCTACACTCCTGCATTATGGCACAGGGCCAGATGGGATTACTGCTGACTCACACACTCAGGCAGTGGAGCTCAGCCAACTCTATACCTCTCTCTCTCTATCTCTGGCCTCTACCTGTTGCAGGAGCACTCTAGGGTAGGTGATGAAACTCTGAAGCCATGCTGCTATTAGTTAGCACTAGCTCCTGTCGCACATATCTCCACTGCTTCTGCTAATTAAATCCCAAGTCACCTGCTTCCAAACTCCCCCACCAGCACATGTGACAGAAACTTAAGACACAGCAACTTAAGAAGTGGGTGCACACTATTAGATTTCCTAACTGATCAAAGTGGCATGGCTGTAAGGCAGGCAGGTTATTGACATTTAAGAGAAACAGAAGAGGACTGAGAAAGATATAGAGAATACATAAGTCCATGTGAGTGTGTGTCTGTGTTGAGAATGCAAATAAAAAGTAAGAAATAAAAACACAAAGAGAAAGCAGTGATTAGTCAATTCTGTCTGACCTGTATTAAATTGAAAACAGTACAAAAACACAATGTTTTATTTTTTAACGTTATGAACTGTTATTTTTTTGGTAAATAAATCACTGCTGTTGGAACAAAATGCCACGCCTGCTAGAGACTCGTTTAGTGTAATGGACTACATTTCCCAGGATAACCTGGGAGATCACATGACGGCAGACTTCCCTATGGAGTCAGAAACCTTCGTGGACTCCATTACCCAGCAGCCAAGGGGAGATCATGTGACCAGTGACGAACTGCCTCGCACCTATCAGCACTCACAGTCACCGGAGTTCTGAATGGTTTCACCTGTGTGTTTTAGTCATATGACTAATTTAGTATATTAGCCCGGGGTTTAGCTTAGGATCCTTGTGAGGTATTGTTTCTCTCTAGAACTTACTGAGCATTTTTTCTGGTTTGATATATTCTGTTTTGACCCCAATCTTGTTTTCTTTGACTATGTTTTTGCCTGCTCCTTTTGTACTGTTGCTTGTTTATTGGATTTGTGATTTTGACCTTTTTTGCCTGCCTTTTTGACTCTGCCTTTTGTCTCGCCCTCTGGACTTGTTTGCCTGTTGTTATGATCACCTTCGTGATCATCTATCACTTTTTGGTTTTGACCCTCGCCTGTACTTCGACTACGACTTTGCCTAGTGTAAATAAAACTTGTACTTTCACTTTTATCCGCACGCGTCTGAACCTTGCTGCTTGGTTACAGAATGCCTCGCCTGCCATGCAGATGGCGGATTCGGAAGCTTTCCAGAAAGTGTTATCAGAGCAAGGGCAGCTATTGGGCAGACACCAGCATGTGTTATCCAGAGTAACACATTCTCTGGAAACCCTAGCACAACAACAAGTGGAACAGCAGGCTCAGTTAGCCCAACTGGTGGCTAACGTGAAGGGACAGACTGGGCAGCTTCAAGCTATGAGCTTCACGAAGACCACGACCACCACCGGATTCCAAACTGCTGCTGAGGACAACACTCAAAACATTTTTCCGGTTAGTAAACCCGATAGATTTTTCGTGGCACCCTGACAAATTCAGAGGGTTCTTGCTACAATGTTCAGTGTATTTTGATAACTCACCTGCCAGCACAGATCAAGCCAAGATATCGTTCATAGTTTCACGCTTAGCTGACAAAGCTTTAGAATGGACTACTGCTAGCTGGGGTCACATGCACCGTCTTTCATATACTAAGTTTGTGAAGGAATTCAAGACAGTTTTTGATCACCCTTATGAGGGTAAAATTAGCAGTGAAATTTTATCCAAGTTACGTCAAGGCAATCGCTCCGTGGTGGAGTACTCTTAAGAATTTCGGACATTAGCGGCTAGTAGTGGATGGAACAAGGCTGCTCTTTTGGTGATGTTTTCGACAAGGACTGAATCCAGAAATTCTGACTGAATTAGCCAGCAAGGATGATGACTTGTCACTAGATCAGTTAATTAGGCGCCGGCCCCTAATGTGGTGAGTGTTCCCACAAAGGGGTTTGTTTCAAAATCAGTTTTGTTGCCTGTATCAATTTACTGTCATCCCCACTCTCTTGTGATTTCAGCCCTGATCGACTCCGGAGCCAAAGGGAACTTCATCAGCGCCCACCTGGTGGAACAACCACAGGTCCCAGTACAGAAGTTCCCGACGGTATTGAAAGTAGCAGCACTAGATGGAGGACCAGTGAGGATGGGCACCTTTTCCGGAGTCACAAAACCCATAGAATTGCAGACGGGTGCCCTTCACAAAGAAAAGATTTCCCTGTTAGTATTGGAACAGTCAGAGTTTGAACTGATCTTGGGCCTTCCTTGGTTAGAGAAACATAATCCTACTATCTCATGGACTGATCATACTATAACTAAGTGGTCAGATTATTGTTTCCAGTCCTGTCTTCACACTCCTGTTTCCATTTCCTCCACATCTATTGAAAGTCCCAATGCTGACGCCTCCTTTGTTATTCCTCCCGAGTACTTGGTCTTGAAAGAAGTGTTTAATAAACAAAAGGCCACAGAACTGCCCCCACACTGAGACTATGATTGTTCCATTGAACTAGTTGAAGACCCAGTTTTCCCCAAAGCTCATGTCTATCCCTTAACCCAAGAGGAACAGGAAGCCCTAGATATTTACATTAAAGAGGCCCTACAGCAAGGGTTCATTCGACCCTCCACTTCACTGATAGCTTCCAGTTTTTCTTTATTAAAAAGAAGGATGGCGGTCTACGCCCTTGCATAGACTACAGAGCCCTAAACCAAATCTCAAAACCATACCCTTATCCACTTCCGTTAGTCCCCGTATCATTAGAGCAATTGCAAGGCGCTAAGTACTTCACCAAGCTAGATCTCCGTAGTGCTTATAATCTCATTCGTATTAAGAAAGGGGATGAGTGGAAGACTGCCTTTGTGACCACCAGGGAGCACTATGAGTATCAGGTGATGCCCTTCGGGCTCTCTATCGACCCCTCAGTATTCCAAGCATTCATAAATGACGTCCTTAGAGATATGCTTGGGCAATATGTGATCACATATCTAGACGATATCCTAGTATATTCTCCCAACCTGGACCTCCGTGTTCAACATGTCCGAGCGGTACTTCAGCGTTTACTTGATCACAATTTGTTCTTAAAAGGAGAAAAATGTGAGTTTCACCTACAAACCGTAGCATTCCTAGGTTACATCATAAGCCCACAAGGTGTTACCATGGATGACCACAAGGTGGAAGCAGTTGTGCAATGGCCACAGCCAGTGTCAGTAAAAGTACTACAGAGGTTCCTAGGTTTTGCTAATTTCTATAGACGCTTCATAAGGAACTTTAGCGGTATTGCAGCCCCCTGACCTCCCTACTCAAGGGTTCCCTCAAAAGAATCACCTGGTCTGAGCAAGCTGAGGTAGCATTCCAACGACTTAAAGAGGCTTTCACTACAGCCCCCATCTTACACCACCCTGATCCTAACCTGCCATTTGTAATCGAAGTCGATGCCTCCGAAACTGGAGTCGGGGCTGTTCTATCCCAGAGAACTGGAAATCCCCAAAAACTCTATCCAATTGCCTTTTACTCCCACAAACTGTCCTCTGCAGAAAGACATGATGGGATAGGCGATCGAGAATTGTTGGCCGTGAAACTAGCTCTAGAAGAGCGGAGGCATTGGCTTGAAGGGGCTAAGTTTCCATTCACGGTTCTGACAGATCACAAGAATCGGGAGTATCTGCGCACTGCTAAAAGACTCAACTCACGTCAAGCCCGATGGTCGCTTTTCTTTTCACAATTTCGTTTCTGCATCACTTATAGACCCAGGTCCCGGGACACTAAGGTAGATGCCCTCTCTAGGGTCTTCCAAGAAGAGATCTACCCTCATGAACCTAGGACCCCAGAACGCATCCTGCCCCCTGAAGTGAACATTTCCTCCATACGTTGGGAGGTGGATGAAGAGATTGAAAAGGCAAAACAAACTATCCCAATACCCAGCCAATGTCCCTCACACAAATTGTATATCCCCTTACCTTTCTGTACTCGGTTAATCACTTGGACACATTCTTCGTTAATGTCAGGCCACCCTGGTGAAACTTGGATCCATAAACTGTTAACTCAAAGATATTGGTGGGAATCTATGATGAAAGACGTTCATTCTTTTGTAGCTTCATGTTCGGTATGTTCCCAGTGCAAAACGCCCAAGACTCTGCCCGCAGGAAAACTTATGTCTTTACCTGTACCAAACAGACCCTGGTCCCATATAGCTATAGACTTTGTAACAGATCTACCCCGTCACAGGATTTTAACACGATCCTAACAGTAGTGGACAGGTTCTCTAGAGGTGTGCGATTTGTACCCTTCGCATCTGTTCCCAGTGCCTTCCAGACAGCGCAAGCACTGATCCAGCATGTCTTTCGGGTATTTGGTATACCCGAGGATATTATTTCAGACAGGGGACCACAGTTCACCTTACAGGTTTGGGCAGCTTTTTTTCAGACATTTAGGAGTGTCTATTAGTTTGACATCAGGTTATCACCCTCAGTCCAACGGACAATGTGAACGGGTTAACCAAGAACTAGGAAAGTTTTTAAGGATCTTCTGCCATGAGAACCCGTCTGACTGGTCTAAGTATCTGGTCTGGGCTGAATTAGCCCAAAATTCCCTGGTGAGCTCTACTACAGGACTAACCCCTTTCCAGGGCTGTCTCGGATATCAGCCACCTCTAGCCCCGTGGACAGGTGCACAGACTGAGGTTCCCGTGGTGGATGAGTGGATGAACAGAAGCGAACAGGTGTGGGAACAGACACACCAATGGATTGAAACAGCTCTCCAATGCCACAAGGACCAGGCTGATCGTCATGGAGGTCCAACGCCAGTTTATCAACCAGGGGATCGGGTGTGGCTGGCTATGAGGGATTTTTGCAACACAAAGGGAAGTTGTCGTAAACTGCAGCCCAAATATATTGGGCCTTTCAAAGTTATTATTTGAATTAATGATGTTACATATAGACTTGACTTACCCCCACGTTTCCGAGTATCTCGCTCGTTTCATGTCTCACTTCTCAAACCTGTCATTTCAGGACCTTTGGACGAGGTTATGCCGGAGGTCACCCCGCCACCACCGGAGGAGATAGATGGGTCTCTGGTCTACGCTGTCCGTAGGTTGCTGGACTCCAGAAGATGCGGTGGGCTACTGCAATATTTGGTGGACTGGGAGGGGTATGGCCCTGAAGAGCAATGTTGGGTGTCGGCAAAAGATGTGCTCGATCCTGCACTCATAGCGGATTTTCATAGCCGATACCCAGAGAAGCCAGCTCCTCGCCCCAGGGGCCGCCCCTGTGGTCAGTTGACCAGTTCTCTTCCGGCCCGCCTGCGACGTTCTCAAGAAGGGAATTCATCAGTCCAGTGCCTCGGCAGTTCGGATGCAGCCCCTGTTCGCGGATCCGGTGGTGGGCGTAGGAGTCGTCTCGGTCGACCTCGTTCCAAGGCCTGCCCGGACTCTTTTGGGGTGGTACTGTCACGCCTGCTAGAGACTCGTCTAGTGTAATGGACTATTTCCCAGGATAACCTGGGAGATCACGTGACGGCAGACTTCCCTATGGAGTCAGAAACCCTCGTGGACTCCATTACCTAGCAGCCAAGTGGAGATCATGTGACCAGTGATGAACTGCCTTGCACCTATCAGCGCTCACAGTCACCGGAGTTCTGAATGGTTTCACCTGTGTGTTTTAGTCATATGACTAATTTAGTTTAGTATATTAGCCCGGGGTTTAGCTTAGGATCCTTGCGAGGTATTGTTTCTCTCTAGAACTTACTGAGCATTTTCTCTGGTTTGATATACTCTATTTTGACCCCGATCTTGTTTTCTTTGACTACGTTTTTGCCTGCTCCTTTTGTACTGTTGCTTGTTTATTGGATTTGTGATTTTGACCTTATTTGCCTGCCTTTTTGACTCTGCCTTTTGTCTCGCCCTCTGGACTTGTTTGCCTGTTGTTATGATCACCTTTGTGATCATCTATCACTTTTTGGTTTTGACCCTTGCCTGTACTTCGACTACGACTTTGCCTAGTGTAAATAAAACTTGTGCTTTCACTTTTATCCACACGCGTCTGAACCTTGCCGCTTGGTTACACAAAACCTGCATCTCTAAAATGGTAACTTTACAGAAGAAAGAAAAAACATACTTTACTTTTAATGTAAGTCAATGTAACCAGACATTTTTCCAAGTCATTTTGGGCCATTTCTTTTTGTCCATTCCTCATGAAATTTACAAACAATATAAAGGACAGCAGGTATATTCAAATTATGTCAAAAACTGAAAAATGGAGATATGAGGTTTTGGTCCGACAGCAGCGATATGCTCATTCAAGTCTTTAGCTTTTGCATTTTACCTACTGCCCCAATGTTTTTGGCATTGGGTTTGTAATTTGAAGGAATATACTATTGGTACTCCGGTTTCCTCCCACAGTCCAAAGACATGCAGTCAGGCCGATTGGACGTGCTAAAATTGCCCCTAGGTGTGTGTGTGTGTGTGTGTGTGTGTGTGTGTGTGTGTGTGTGTGTGTGTGTGTGTGACTGTGTTTGTCTGTCTGTCTGCCCTGCGATGGACTGGCGACCTGTCCAGGGTGTATCCTGCCTTCTGCCCAATGACAGCTGGGATAGGCTCCAGCACCCCACCGTGACCCAGAAGGATAAGCGGTTTAGATGATGTATGTATGTATGTATGTATGTATGTATACTATTGGTTCACTCATTGTCAGAAAAGAACTGAATACCTGATTTACAATAAAAGCATACTTATAAAAGCTATAGACAGTTGATGTCCCTATAAAACGAATTACAAACAACTTTGGCTGAAGTATTCATGGAAGTGTTCTACAGTAGTGCATGTTTCATCTAAATTCAAATTCAAAACTGCTCAATGGCCTTTGTTGTAAGTGTGTTTGAGTCAGTGTTTACTGTTTTTTTTACAAGGAAAACAAGTACAAGGAAATGAATTGAAATTATTGTCTGTGTTAATCAGACGCGAGCAGTGAATATTATTGCCAGGCCTGCAGTTCAGACCAAAAATGCCAAAGTTAATGAAAGACAAGGAAAAAGAAAAAAACACCTCTACAATAATGCTATGCTAGTGCCCCTATGGGATTCTGGTAGTACTTTAGTGCTAAGCTAACTGCCATTTACATGAACATTGTTTGGTTATTCTACATTAAACTGTGACATTTAAAGCTTATAAAAGACATTGCATGTTTTATTTGAGGCTTGTAACAGACATATTACCATAGATTGTACCTTGTATGTAGTAGTTTTACAGTGACTCCTTCAATAAAGATTGCTGGCGTACAGTTGCCAACACCGCTATCCATTTCAAACACTTGACTGAAATGCACTGGTTAGGCTACCAATTCACAGTCAATGTCATGTCTAAGACTTTAAGAAGGTCTAGACTATGTTTTTCTCAACAACATGGTCACACCCACTGCAAACCCAAACATGATTGGTTGATTCCCCTGTCAGTTTCTAATTATGTTAGTGGTTAAACTGACATGGAAGGCCTTCACTTTAGGTCCTGAGGTCCTAAATCATGGGAGAGCTAGCTGGAGCCTAGAGCCTAGAGCCAGCTAATTTTCCTTGGAAAATCCTGATTGGATAATGAATGCTAAATAAATAAATGAACTTGAATGAATTTATTTATTTATTTTTTATTTTGAATGAATTTGTTTTTTTTTATTTATTTTGAATGAATTTATTTTGCAGAAATCATTAGGCTTCTCTAAAGGTCTAGAAGGCCTTGAGGGTTCCCCACTGGTGTTAATCAACCATACTCTACACATAGTACAGACAGAAGTGAGACTGAAAAAACATGGAGTATTCCTTTTATAAGAGGGATAGTTTGTAACTTATAAGAAAAATAAAGCGACAGAATGAGAGAAATTTTGTAATATAATACAAAAAAGGGAATGCATAAATTTGCTGACATATTGTAAGAAAAACATGATGTTTTCTCATAACCTTTTGGTCTGCTCTCTTGCCTCTCTAAGCCTGGTAATCAGGACACATGCACTCTGTCATGGTGCTACAGGCTGATTGAAGAGGGAAAGGAAAAGCACACCTCAGAGGAACGATATCACTGGTGAAAGTGACATCTACTGAGCACCTGGTGAGAGAGCTACACCTGGAAAGTGTGCTGATTCGGGGAGCTTTCTATGTCCTTGATTACCTTGTAATAAGGTATATATCTGAGCCAGTGGTGTGA